TCACATAGAGGGGCCTTCCAAACTCCTGCCTTGAGGATGTAAGCCTGTTAGAAGTCTCAGAATCGGCTGAGGAAGGGGACTGGAAACCGTCTCACCAAGCAGTATATAAATTTGTTCTCATTTCCAGTATTCCACTACTTATAGACATATCTGGTGTCCTTGAGTTCAGATTCTCTAGTTCAACATCCCTTGCGAATTAACCTTTAGTTTTTGGGTGGTGGAAGGCAGGACAGCAAATGCCTGGCTGTAAAGAAGAAAGGAAATCTGGGATCTAATTGCTTATGTTCAGACCTGCAATCAATTCTTTTCAGTTCTACCCTGACCTATCTCCAGAGGTACCTGATGCCTGCAATTTCTCAGCCTTTCTAAACTTTTGTGGTCAGAACTGGCTTGCTTCTGGGATATCATCTACACTGCTGCTACCTCAGTGTCATTCATCTATTGTCCAGCTTCCAATAGTACATTGGCATCGTCTGCCCTCTTCTTCATTTTTGGGACTCTTTTGGTCCTTCCCCGTCATTGTAGTGGCATTTTGTAAGGGACTGGAGGGAAACTGGTACATTCAATTCCCCTACCTTTAGTAGTAAATCTCCTTATTCAACTTCCTTTCTTCTCTCCCCCAGAATTTGCCTACAAGTAGTCCTTCCATTTACTACCATGTATTACTTTTAAACAGGAATTCCTTTTTTTCCTTCCACATCCACAAAGCAGACCACTTCTCCTACACTTTTTTCTAAATGAAGCATGAAGTCTTCTTGAGGGTCTTTATAGGGTTTTTATGATTAGTAACTACCAAAAAAAAACATAGGGATAAAATAAACTTGAGGAAGTCCCAGTTTTCATAGATATATTAATAGGAATTCCTTTTGTTCTTTGACATACTTCCTACTACAAGGGGTGCATCTTAGTTCTAATATTTTGGGTTTTATAAAAGTTTATATAAGACCTTCCATGATTTTATAAAAGTCAACAATCTCACTATCCTAGGTAGAGTCTGATGCCTTTCAGTCTATCCTCATATACACGAATGTTTGTGGGTACAGTTAGTATTCACGGGATATTAGTGCTTTACACTTAGGAAATATGTAAACTTGAAATGGCTCAAAGCATTTTAATCACTAATTTTTGAAAACATAACTTTAAGTAGCTTTAAATAAAAATACCACCCTTACATTTAACTCCATTCTCAACACATTTTACATCAGTTCTCTTTCAAGAGCCAGTCAATTGATCACTGCAGTCTCTCGGTAACAGTTAACACCTACAGCAATTGAGTCATTGACATGACCTCTGAGTGGCATCATCAGTACATCCTCTCCCTCTGCTGACTTTGGTATCCAGTTCACACATTTCTCCAAAAGCTCTACATACATGGTCTCATTTAATATTCATGAGGTGGAGTGTAGAGACTCAAGAACATTTGAAATTGTACTGGGATAGTTCTGGGTTATTTCAGAGTTTTAAAGAAAGAAGGGGAAAAGTTTCAAAGGCTGACTCCAGGTGTTCTTTCCCATTTCCAGGTGCTTCCTTCACCTCTTCAGATGTCTAAGGACTCTGCTTGGTCTGTTGTCTCACAAGTCATCTATTATCTATCAGTGTTACTGTGCTTTCATACAGGTGAATTGAAAATGTTAGATGTAAGATATTCTCAAAGTTGGCAGGTATTATTTGGGGAGCTCCACAATGAGCTATTACTAGAATTACGTCTATGATTTTGGTCCTTTCCAGAAGCATGGATTCAGTTAAAGCCTGCCTGGCTTTCCACCGAGCAGCTCATTCAATTTTCAAGTGTTAAAGAATTTCAAGTAGAAAGAACATTATTTTTTGTACAGTTGTATTACCCCTCCCCACATAAGGTATGTGGCAAGAGATTGGCAAGATATGATGTACAGAGCAAATACTCAAATACAGATGACTGCACGCAAAAGAGAATGTGTCTTTGCATAAAAACACTGTAATTACAAAGGAATTTTATGTATTTTTAAGGCATAAATTTGAATGACAGGAATTTATCTTTCATTTCATCAGTTCTGTGCTGGCCTCATTACCAAACACCTCAGGAGAGAGAGCTGCCGCTGGCTCGAGCGCTCCACCCCGACTGGGCTGTCTCCATGTCAGTTTAACCTACTCTTTGGATGAAGCATCTCCAACTACTGAACTTTTTTCAGCTCAGCAGTGACTTTTGTTGGTCTCCTGACGGGAATCTCTCCTCACAAGGAGATAAAAACCCCCATCTGGTTTCTTTGTAGAATTCCATTTGGTTTAATATCTCTAACAAGAGGAGAAATGCTTATAAAAGTAGCCCCTACTACATACCACTGTGCAGTAAGGTAGAGATTTCGATCCTTTGCCACTGTTGTGGTACTATGTAAGCATACAGCTATGAGTGGCAATCACTTTCAGAAATCTGCCCCTTTCTAGCACGTATAGCCCCACCTTCCTCACTTTCTGTATTCCTAATCTTACTGCCAAGGACACTGGGCCTGAATTTGGGCTCTCAGACCCCATCAGATTAGCATGATTTACAGCTTCTATCTCAATGGCCCTTTGAGATAAGACAATGGAAGTGGTCTTTTAAAAAATTAGGGAGGTAAAACTCTAGGAAGAACAGCAGTATTTGTTTACAGCTAATATTCATTTCAGAGGGCATACTGTTTCCCCAGGTACTACCAACACAAAGCCCTTTCTATACAATATAATAAAGTAGGCCACCCAGATGAGGATTTGGGGCCCCAGCATATAGAGATTTCATCAGGGAAAAAAAACTACAATTCAAATTAGTGGAACTGGCCAAGTTTTCATCAAGTTTATCATTCTGATAATCTAGAATTCAAAGATTACTAATTTAAATGAGTAAACATAGTAAGGTGGTTAACTTTCTACATTAGAAACTAAGATCCAAAAAGAATTAACTGTATTTAGGGTAGAGTATTTTGTTGTGGCTCTAGCTTCAATCACAAAGGAACAAAGCTTTCAACCCCTGGCACGCTTTCTATAATAAGGCTCTTAAAGAAGCAACAATCAGAGAAAAAAGCTTTTGCCTAATACCTACATTTTGACATTAAAAAAGAAAACTTTTCTGATCCCAACTGTAGACAAAGGAAAAGTCTTGCATTCATTCACAAACTCGAGATTGCCCAGATTTTTTGTTTGACCTGGAGTACTCATAATTAAGCACTTTTAAGTGGAAATACTGTCATACAGGAGATCTCCATCACAGTATTTATTATTAGTCATCCTCTCAGTTGGGGTTTTTTAAAAAACAGTGCCCTAGTGGCAATAATGAATGAGGTAACAGTAGGGGAAAAGAAACATTATTTGTTAAAACGAACCCCTTAAATTAAAAGAATGTTTTGGAAAGCATCCTAGTAAGCGCTAAATCTGAGAAAGATCTCTTTATGCTGAAAAGTAAATAATGACAAAACCCAAGGCTCACACTTTTACAGATAATGGGGGAAAAAAAAACACTGAAGAAACTATATACTAAAATAAAAGCTGTTTTTTTATGGCTAACCTATTTGATTATATTGGAATACTCCTCTGTTTTTATAGAGAAGGTGCTTGGAATAGCAGAGACTTTTCATGATCACTTCTGGTACATATTTATTCTTTATACTTTTGCTACTCCTTGAAGTGTCCTCATTTAGACGTATTTTTCAGATTCACCAAAACTTGCATGGGCTTTGATTCACTGGCACTTCCACTGCTACCTGTTTTCTTCTTGTGAAAACCCTAGTCACAATATTTTTTTACACCCAGTCAGTTCTGCTCTTCTGTCCACTCAAAAGTATTACCCTTGTTAGTATTTTTGCTTCTCTCCCTAGTTTCCACTAAACATGAATATTTTCTTATGCATCAATTAGCATATAACTAATATTTTTTAGGTAGAAATTAAACTGCCAGTGTTTAAACTCTAAGTGTTTTATCATCTTTCCAGGTTATTCAGACCCAATCCTGGGCTCCTTTCTGATCCTCATCACTGTCTTCTTGATGATACTTGTGATCATTGACCTTTTTGCTTCTGCCATTCCAATGGTCTTTGAAGAAAGTCGCTTAAGGTAGGTAACTCTCTGGCTTAAGATTGCAGACTGCCATATGCAAAGTGTCGGCATGTACCCTTTATTAGTCTCCACAGCTCTGCCAACCCTTACCCTCAGAAACTCATTTTACCAAGACTATATTAATGTTCTGTATCCACTGTCCTATAGCTAGCTAGCCCTCAACTATTAAATGGCAGAAACATTCTGGCAATAAATCATTAAAGGAAACAGAAAATACGAATAGTAAAAATACTGTTTTTTGTATCTTTGGTACTTCTTTCCTCCAACATTAGCCACAATTTCACTTTCCTTCCTTTTATCATTTTGTCTTTGAATAGACTCAGAAAGCAGCTGCACTGACAGATCTCCTGCTACAGAGGTTCTTGCACTTGTTAGGAATCCAGTGGCACCAGAACAAGTGAGTGGAACAGCCATGACAGCAATGAGCGATGACACTGCAGTTTTAAAGATGAACTACCTTAATCCTGATACTACCTCCTAGCTTCTTGGCCTATTATTTCTTAGCATGGTGTAGAAGATTATAGATGTTTATAATACACTGTTAATTTTTTAAATCACTGAGGAATCAAAATCCCCTTGGCTGCAAGTTGTTTTACAGATCTTGGCACAGGCAAGGGTTGATGCCAAGAGTAACTAACACAGGGTAAACCCACTCAGCAGCCAAGCAGCAAGTAACAGAATGCTCACCACCTACGTTCCAGTCATGAGTCAGCAATGAGCTCCAGCTGAGGAGGAGCTCTGTCCTGGAAGAATGACCAAACAAACTCCCAGTTGCCATCTGGGCTTAAATACAGATGGAACAGGCTCTGTACTGCTCTAGGCATCTGTGTGACCCAGGGAGCCAAAGGTAAGGTCTGGCTTGTGCCCAGCATGGACGGCTTGCCTAAAATACTCTCCAGTAAAATCCAAATTGGCACTTGAACATTTGACCAAAAGAAAGCAGGGCACAGAATTTTTAACTTTATTATCAGCTACTGAGCTATGAGATACAAACCAATCAAAACCATTAAAGAAAAGTTGCTTTAAAGATATGTACAGAAACACTACACAGAAGCCAAATTCTATCTTCCTTTCCCAAAGCCATCCCTGTGAGGAAGGACAGCCTTAGCTAGGGGGCAAAGGAGCATGTAAGTTAACAACAGTTACGAGTCTCATCCGTCAAGGAAAGCAGCCAGAAACTACAGCCACATGGGTACCAACATTTTACCTGTGATCAGTTTTTAAAGGTTCTCTTAATCATAAAGTTTTCAAATGAAAACAGGAACTTCTTCTGTAGGCTTTCCAGCTCACTACCCAAGAGACTTGAGTACTTCTATTAAGGCAACTGGAAGCCCACCTTAGCTAGGAATGGTGACTTCTGCCCAGTACGTGGCCTGTCCTTCCTTTGCCAGTAATGCAATCCAACAGAACATGCTATGGGGAAAAACAGATTTATACAGTGCTGCCCTCTGGTAAAAGGGAAACACAGCACTCAGAGTAAAGCAAAAGGCCACAGAGGGCTCCCTGAGAATCCAGTAGAACTAAGGGAGGCCTTCACCTTTCCAAATAAACTTTGCAACTGGATCCAGGTGGAACACTACCCTGCAGCAAGGAGGAGTGTGTATGCCAATGAGAAGACCCAGTTTCCAAGAACTGTTGCAATGCCTTCTTGAGTCATTTTCTCTCTCCTACCAAAGTGAGAAAATAGACACCTTGGCCTTGATTCTCACTCAGCACAGGGCTGATACACTCCATGATGTATTCTCTTCCAACGTTCAGCCATCTTTAGCAGCTTCCCCACACTCACTTCCTCACTCCCCTGTGGAAGGATGGGGGATAGATGAGGAGACAACCTAGGATTACACTCACAGGAGGAAACGGACAAGCACGGGAAGCACCTGCTCTGGCCTCGTAGAGTCTCCAGTCATTAGTGTCTTAGGGCCAACAGAGAACAGGGAAGCAGCAGAACTTGGCAGAGCAGGAAGAGAGCCCAGAGGAGTGTGCACTCAGTGACGGTTAAGAAATGAAACAGAGATTTTTCATTAGGAGAAACTGCTCAGTCTTAACTCCCAGAACTTTGACGCTGGCTGGTGTTAAGGAGCCTATGTTTTCTTTTTCAACTCTTCAAATCTCCGGGAAAGATCATCAAAGTCAATGTCCTCAGAGGCTGAGGTGTGGGCACCAGCAGATGCAGCTGGTAATGTGTCTGGCACAGACGGCAACTCTGGCAGTACAAAGTTGTCATAGGTGTCCACGGGTCTGGGAGGGGACTTTGCAGAGGCTTCTGGCTTGGGTCCAGGACCTAATTGAGGGAAGGAGCACAGCATTACAAATGCCAGAGAAGTGGCTCAGATCCTTAAAGCTCATACAGGCAAATACAGGAGAACACAGTTTTTTGTTTTTATAATAATTAATTCTAAAGGTCAAAGGTTTTCAGGACAATTAACATCTTCATTTTCTAATATAGTTGAATCCTCTCCGCTTTACTTTCCTATGGTGAGAAAAAAGTCAGAGTGTGATGCATGGGTTGGTATACAGCATTCATTTAAAGAGACTGTTGTTAGGGGGCAGACCTTTGTGTAAGGGGATAAAATCCAAGGGGCTAGGCTAGGGTAGTACTAGTATTTTGTTGGAATGAGCCACTTTTTAAGACCTAGGGAGAAAAAATTTTTTATAAGAAATGTTAATGTCCATCCATATGGTTTGATAATAGAATCAATCTGTATTTCTAGTCTTCTGTTTAATATTTTACAAGTTAAAAATCACCCCCCTCTACATTCTGTATGTTTCCATTTATATCTAAGTTCTAGATCTCTATATTAGAAAGTAAGAACAGTGCTTGCTTATGGGTAGAGGAGTAAAGCTGACTGGAAAATAACAAAAGGGAACTTTCTGGGGTGACAAAAACATTCTTTTTATACCTTTACTGAGGTGGTGGTGGTTACATATATATACATACACACATGTACATGAAAACATCAAAATACACACTTTGTTGAATTTTCCTGTATGTCAATTATATCTCAATAAAATAACTTGTCTCCTAATTCAGAGGTATCCCCCCCTGCATTTTTGGAGTGCTGGTAGTATTTTATTTTTTGAGTGGACAGCTGCTACACGAACATGCTTGCTTCATGAAAAGTCACTTGAGTTATTCACTTACAATTTTGCTTATTTCCCCCTTTATTAAAACAAAAAACCATTTTTCCATGCTCAATGGAAGTTGAGACAATTAGGGAATCTGTAAGATTCTTTGGGGCCAGGGAAGACCTTTTCTTTTTGGGAGCAGGAAACCCTGAGTTTTGATTCCACTGTTCTGCATTAGGGGAGAGCACAGGGCATGTGGAACCAGCAATGGGTGTCTGCACTGAGCCTTTAGAGTCTAACTCACCAACAATCTGTGCAGAAGAGACATTCTCATCAGCATTAACATCATCAACCTGAAACACAAAGACTGTTACCAAAGAGTAGCCTCACTGGAAAAAGTCTGTTATAAGCCCCCATGTTGTCCGAAGCTAAGCTGATGAGCAAAAGCAACAGAATCTGCTCTAAGAAACTACCCCCTCACCCCCCATGCTTCCTTCCTGATCGCTGTCCAACCAGATAGATAACCATGCTGAACTCTTAACCAAGGAGAGAAAAAGAAACTTACCATCACACCCCTTGAATCTGATACCTTCCAAGCATAGAGAAAGCACTAAATCCCCGAAATAATCTCTAAGGGCCATGTCCTCAAATACTGAAGATCTACCTCATGCCTAGAAACAGCTGTGGGCAATGCTTCGAAGTGTGCAAGACCAAAACCTAAGAAAAACTCAGGCCCAAAGTGAAAACCATAGAAAGAACAATAAGCAAACTCAGGAACAGGGTGATCTCACTAGATGAGTATTTTCCACAGTAAACACCACACCAAGTTGTTTTCTTGATAATGCCTCAGATCAAAACAGGCCTCAGTATGTATTAGCTGAGGAAACAAGGCTGGCAGAAAATGACATTTAATCCTGAACCAAAGACATTACAGCCATCTTATAAATAAGCCAACTTATTTATACTAAGTTTTAGTTACAGAACTAAAATATAGAATTAATGTTAGAGACTGAATTTTACTACTGAAATTTTTTAAGATAAAATTCTGGTCACAATTCCTTTACACAGTATCCAGAATTTGTAAAACTAGCATTCTTAATCATGACGACATTCTAGGACAAAGACTGGTTATGTACCAGCTCAATGTAATTCTCTGCCTAAGTAGTCAAAAAAAAAGGTGGTTCGTGCTCTATTACCTCAGAGACCCAGAGTCCCTGCCTGCTTCCCAGCTTAACTGCAGACAAAGCATCGCACCAATGATGCTGCCCCTGCCACCAGTGCTTCCCACTTCCAGGGTCATGTTAAAGCAACACAAAAATCCAAAGCAAGAGCAATGCCAGCACTAGGAGTTGATCGAAACTTTGCCTTCCCTGTGGCCATTTTTTGCTCTCTCTTCATGGGAGTCACTCTCCTGCTGCTTATAAAAGAGGTTCAGGCACTTACAGATTCATATGATGGGGGAGTTGCTGGTATCGGGGGTGGATGAATATTGGGGAAGGCCTGATAAGTCCCCACTGGCAATCCATTGAAATCCGACTGCAAGAGGAGAAAAGGCACTATCAGAGACACTGCCCGGGATTTGCAGTTTCTGAGGTTTGTGTATGGGAACAGAGAAACGGCTATTCTATTATATTCTATTCAATATATTCAAGAGCCCCAAAAGAAAAGAACAATGCCCAACAGGATTATATGTGATCAGAAAAATTCCAGATTTGTAAAGATCTGTAACCAGAGGCTATCGCTGAAATTACTAAATCAACTGTCTCAATGTCTACAAGGAAAGATTCTAGTCAGACTTTCTCAATAGCAATGCCCTTCATTATCCAGTCTACCAAGGAGGTTTTTCTACCTGGTAATTAGCGGTTGTTAATTCATCTTTGGCAAAAGCTACTAGAATGCTTGCCAAGTAAATCTACACAAGAAAGTTTTTCTAGCACCATCTCTCTAGACCTATTTTCCCACTTCACTACCTACACCTGAACCAAAAGACTTTCTCTGAATCTCAGTATTTTTTCCCACAACACAATTACTAATACCGAATGTTCTTAGTGCTAAATCTTCTTGACGATCTACAATTCCCAAGTGTATTTACTTGTCATCCATTTTGTTACATTTTCTCAAGTTTACATCCACACTTACAGGTATACTTACTGGTCCCTTTGGAAGTGGGTATGAAAAAGGAGTATTTGGAGAAGGCATGGGCATGGGCATAGGCATGGGCACTGTCCCATCAGGTCCACCAGCTGGTGCTGTGAACCCACCACCACCACCACCTCGTCCAGGGCCCCCTTTCTTCACATCGTCTGTGAATCCAACATCAATAAGATCTGCCTCTACCCCAGGAGGAGCTTCTGCCTGAGAAAAGGAGAAAAACCCCCATCATTAACCATTAACCACACTGCAGGCCAGATTCCCCAAGATGCAGACTCTGAGACGGAGATCAGCATGAAGGGAGCTTACTGGAGAGTCTCTTGGGATAAACACCAGTGAGGAAGTGAAGGAAGCCAGCTGGCAAAGGCTGCAGTGCAATCACAACAAAGGCCTCGGCCAATTCCCCAGGGAGTCCGGGAGCTGGGAGAGGCCTGCAGCAGATGCCTCCAACTGGGGCGGAGAGGCAGTGTCTTTAAGCCCCTGCCCTGACCGCTTACCAATACAGGTTATCCCCAGGAACGACTTGGGTAAAGCAGCGTTCTTCTGAGGGCCACTGCTAGAGACACTGAGCTGTATGTAAGCCACCAGTCATCAATACTCTAGAGCACTAGGGTATAAATGCTTCTGTCCTGAAGTGTGTCTGTGTATTTGTGATAGGAGAGGGTTATCTGAGCAGCACAGCAAGCATCCACTATATCCCATCAACCTTAAATGAATGATTATTTGCAGATCTGCCCTCCTGACACTGTAAGTCTCTTCAGGATCCTTGATTTTATTTCTCTCTTTACAGGCATACACCTTAGAGATATGAGCCTAATCTCAAATGAATTTTTGTCTTCCCAGTACATATCAAAGTTATGCTTATACTATGCTGTACTCTATTAAGTGTATAATAGCATTATGTCTAAAAAACTTTTATGTATACATACACGTGTGTGTGTACTTACAAAATACTTCCTTGCTAAAAGACGCTAACTATCATCTGAGCTTTCAGCGAGCTTTTTTGCTGATGGAGAGTCTTTGCCTCAGTGTTAATGGTCACTGGTGGCTGAAGGTTGGGATGGCCATGGCAATTTCTTGAAAGAAGACAACAGTCAAGTTTGCTGCATCAACTGACTTCCTCTTCACGAATGATTTCTCTGTAGCACACAATGCTGCTTGGTGGCATTTTTACCACAGAACTTTTCAAAACTGGAGTCAATGCTCTCAAATCCTGCTGCTGTTTTATCAACTAAGTGTATTTGATATTCTAAATGCTTTGTTGTTATTTCAATCTTCACATTTTCACCAGGAGCAAATTCCATCCCAATAAAAGCACTTTCTTTGCTCACACATAAGAAGCAACTCTTTTCCATTCAAGATTTATGATGAGATTATAACAATTCAGTCATATCTTTGGATTCTACTTCTAGTTCTCTTGCTATTTCTACCACACCTGCATTTACTTCCTCCACTGATGTCTTAAAACCCTCAGAATCATCCACGAGGGTTGAGATCAACTTCTTCCAAACTCCTGTTAGTGTTGGTATTTTGACCTCTTCCCTTGAATCACAAATGTTCTTAATGGCATCTAGAATGGTGAATCTTTTCCAGATGGTTTTCAATTTACTTTGCCCACATCCATCAAAGGAAATGTATTTAAATAATAAGGCTTAAAAGTTAAAATTACTCCTTGATCGATGGGGTGCAGAATGGATATTGTTAACAGGCACGGAAACAGCATTAATCTCATACATCTCCAGTAGAGCTCTTGGGTGACCAGGTACACTGTCAATGAGCAATAATATTTTGAAAGCATAAGCAATCTTTTTGTCTAAGCAGTAGGTCTCAACAATGGGCTTAAAATATTCAGTAAACCATACTGTATAAACAGATGTGCTTCCACCCAGGCTTTGCTGTTCCATTTATAGAACCTAGGCAGAGTAGGTTTAGCACAACTCTTAAGGGACCTAGGATTTTCAGATGGCAAATGAGCATTGGCTTCAACTTAGTCACCAGCTTCATCAGCCCCTAACAAGAGAGTCAGCCTGTCTTTTGAAGTTTTGAAGCCAGGGAGTGACTTCTCTCTAGCTATGAAAGTCCTGATGGCATTTTCTTTCACTAGAAGGCTGTTTCATCTATACTGAAAATCTCATTTAGTGTAGCCACCTTTATTAATGACCTTATATAGATCTTCTAGATAACCTGCTGCAGCTTTTACATCAGCACCCGCTGCTTAACCTTGAACTTTCATGTTCTAGAGACAGTTTCTTTCCTTACATCATGAGATGATGAATTAACCTCTGCTAGCTTCAAAGTTCTGTAACTTCTTCACTTCTCTCAGATGTCAAAGAATTGAAGTCTTGTTCTAGATTAGGATTTGGCCTAAGATAATGCTGTGGCTGGTTTGTTCTTCTATCCAGACCACTAAAACTTTCTGCCTGTCAGCAATAAGGCTGTTTCACTTTATCGCCCACTTATGCACTGGAGTAGCACTCTCTTCTTCAAGAACTTGGGATTCACAACTTGGCTAGCTGTTTGGTGCAAGAGGTCTAGTTTTTGGCCTATTTTGGTTTTTGACATGTCTTCCTCACCAGGCCTAATCATTTCTAGCTGCTTATTTAAAGTGAGAAACATGCAACTCTTTCCTTCATTTGAACACTTGAGGTCACTGTAGGGGTATTAATTGGCCTAATTTCAATACTGTTGTGTCTCAGAGAAGAGGGAGGCCCAAAGAGATGCAGAAGGGAAGAGATGAAGGACCAGCCCATCAGCGAAGCAGACAGAACACACACATTTATCAACTAAGTTTTCCATTTTATATGGATGCAGCTCCTGGCACCCAGAACAATTACAACAGCAACATCAAAGATCACTGTTCACAGATCACCAACACAAATAATGAAAAAGTGTGAAATATTCCAAGAACTACCAAAATGTGACACAGAGACATGAATTGTGCAAATTCTGTTGGAAAAATGTCGCTGATGAGACTTGCTTGACACAAGGTTGCCATAAACCTTCCATTTGTAAAAAAAACACCAACTGCAAAGCACAAAAAAACAAGGTATGATGTACCCCTATGTTTATCGCAGCACTATTTACAATAGTCAAGAAATGGAAGCGACCTAAGTGTCCATCAGTAAATGAATGGATAAAGATGTGGTACATAAACACAATGGAATATTATTCAGTCATAAGAAGAAAACAAATCCTACCATTTGCAACATGGATGGAGCTAGAGGGTATTATGCTCAATGAAATAAGTCAGGCAGAGAAAGACAAATATCAAATTATTTCACTCATATGTAGAGTATAAGAACAAAGAAAAACTGAAGGAACAAAACAGCAGCAGATTCACAGAACCCAAGAATGGACTAACAGTTACCAAAGGGAAAGGGACTGGGAGAATGGGAGGGAAGGGAGGGATAAGGGCAGGGAAAAAGAAAGGGGGATTATGATTAGCATGTATAATGTAGGCGGGGCATGGGGAGGGCTGTGCAACACAGAGAAGACAAGTAGTGATTCTACAACATCTTACTACGCTGATGGACAGTGACTATAATGGGGTTTGTGGGGGGGACTTGGTGAAGGTGGGACTCCAGTAAACATAATGCTCTTCATGTAATTGTAGATTAATGATAACAACAACAACAAAAAAATACGACTCAATACATTTAAAAGGACCAAAACCATACAGAGCATGTTCCTTGAAAAAAAAACAAAAAACAAACAAGGTATGTCTGTCTAAGCTTTCCATGAGCTGTCTGGCACATAACAGGCATCTGATCATCGTTTTAGAATCTGTTCTGGGTCTTGAAGCATTTTTTGCTACCCACGAAGGGATTCTCAGTTCTTCAAACCTCATCAAAAAGCAATAATGCTATTTTATATTTGTGTCAAGGTTTATACCTCTTCAAAGTGCTTTCAGTCATTCACCTCATCTGCTCCTTAAATACTGTCAGATATGCACGCACGTATAGTTACACAAAAAGGCACTAACTGAACAAAGGCTTAAACTCTCACACACAAATTTCAGTGCAAATGACATGGTTATTTTTCAAATAAAGTGGTATCTAGAGACTCATTTTCCTTTGTTTGTACTCTGAATGAGTCTAAACTTACCATGACCACAGAATCAGGCTCATAGGGCACATTGTAGTTCTTGGCAATTTCAATGAGGTATCTTTCCACCAGGATTTTGGGTGGGGCTTCTACACTCAGTTTGTGCATTAGCTGTTAAGTAAAAGACCAAGGGTTAAAATCTATACCAACCCAAGCCTCACCTGTCTTTTAACTTTGTTCTTCCCAAAAGAAGTTCAAACCAGTTAGCACAATTTTTTTCAGTCACAAAATACAAGACCCATCTCTCACATTCTCTGGTTACATATGACCCAGGTGTTGGTGAAAGACTAATACTGCTACATTCCACATTTGAATTCATCCACCCTTCCTCTGACCTCATTTCTACCTCCACAAATCATAAGGGGCACAAAGGGTGGGGTAAAATCAGGAATGACACAGAACAGACAGCCTCACAATCAGATATAGGGCAGAGGTAAAGAGTTGATGATGCTGCCAGCCAAAGAGCCTTCTCACCCTCCCTGAGAAATGTGCAACCCCAGATTAACTCAGCTATACAGTGAAACCCCTACCTCAAATCACAGCAGATGAGAAAATAACCTTCTCCCACCCTGCCTATTGCTTCATGTTTTAACAAGTATGTTCCTTACTCTGTCATTCACAGTTCCAATTTGGTTGGTCCTACATAACTTGCCATATTCCTTGCTATATTTGGCACAGAGCTGATCAGCAACCTAAAGAGAAAAAAGAACAGTAAATAAAAGTGGAAACTACTCCTACATACAGCTTCAACTCCCTCCTATCAACATCCAAAACACTGGCATCTATGAAACTTTAAGGGGTACATATTAATTCATTTACTTGTTTATCCATACATTGAGCTACCACCATGTATCAAAATCTATTATAAAACATGATCTACACTATAAATATAATAAAAGATAGTATTCCAACTCTTACCGAATCTAACAGTCTCTAGGGAAACAGTCACACAGATAAAGGAACAAATGCAGCTGTGATAAGTGCCACCAAGGGAAAGTATACCATACTGTCAACAGCTTTTAACAGTAGTATCAGATCTGCTCAGCAGTCAGGTAAGGCTTCCTGAAGAAAATGATGCTTTACTGAGATGTAAAGGATGATTAGGAGTTAACAAGGAGGTAAGGAAAGGAAGAGTATTCCAGGAAAAGAAATCAGTATGTACACAGACCTCTAGGGGAAAAGCAGGGCAAAGTCAAAATAAAGTCAAAGAGCGTCTAGTGCAAAGCCCAAGGGAGGAGTGGAACAGGTAATGGAAGTAAGAAAGGTACGTGGGGGGCCAGACAATGCAGGGCCCTGCAGGACATACCCTGGTTCTGTTTTGGTTTTGTTTCTACCAAAAGAACAACAGAAAGCTACTAAAGGGCTTTAAAGCAAGGGACAGTGACAGGAGCAGATCTGTGTTTTGAACAGAAACCTCAGTTCTGAAGGAAGAGGTGAACAAACTATAGGAAGCGAAAGTAGCTGTAAGAAGAGCATTTCAGAAGTTGCTGTAATAGTCCAGGCAGGAGACGAGAGTGGTCCCAACACTTGGGAACTCAGCGATGGGGCACTCAGTGTTCAACACCGGGTACTTACACGAGGTTTATCATTTGTCTTTTGATAATAGTTATTGTTTTGCTTTATACTATGCATAAAATTTAAAAATTTTATTCATACTAATTTATCACTGTTTATGCTTTTGTGGTTTTATGGCTTTTTAATGGTTTTTGTGACCTTTCCACTGTAAGATTTAAAAAAAATCTGCCTAGTTTTCTTCTCATTCTTTTATGGCTTCATTTTTTTTTTAATGTAAATCTTTGTTTCACCTGGAATTAATCTTGATATATAGGCGTAAAGGAGAAGTTAAAAATGAGACTGAGGTTAAAAGCTTGAGTATCTACCCACAAACCTCTATGGCCACCCTCCTTTCCCTAGCAGAACACAGGAGATTTACTCTCTGGGGAGGTTAAACTAAAGAGACTCTGGACTCCAAGCCCAGCAGACGGCAGGGATACTTACAACAGAAGATCCAAGTGTGAATCTGCTACAAGAGAAGAGTGAGACTTTGACTTCTTTCTCCTCTAGGCTCTCAAAATCCTGGCAGCCTGCTTATACCCTCCTCCAGGTAAAAGACAGGAAGATTCATTCCTCTCTGAGAAAAATGACCAACCCAAGGAAAGGAATCTAGTTCCTCCAAGTCTGGAGCTCCTTAAGGACTTAGATCATTCAACAATGAAGGCACACAAGAGGTTCCAATCCACTTTTTAGTGCCTCACTCTTAAATATGAACCAGAAGCCAAAGGTCGCCAAACCTTGGAGATGAGCCTCAATTATAAAACTATCTAAAAGAAACAGAAGAAAAACTTTCCAGAAATAAGTTAAAAAGACACTATAATGCTCTTGAGTTCTAGTTAGAAGACAACTATAGCCATGAAACTATAATAGACTATAAAAACTGAATACTCAAGAGAATTAAAAAGTTCTTAAAAAATAAAAACAGAAGACAAAATCTCAAGAGGGACTGGGAGATAAGACTGAGACAATCTCTAAGAGAATAAAATAAAAAGGCAAAGATGTAGAAAACAGAGAAAACTCCAATTACTTTGTATCCTAGCAATCAGTACCATTTCCACGTTGTGACAAGCAGTTTTTTAGTAAATGTCTATCTCTTCTGCTAGTCTCGAGTCTTCTGTTAGTAACCAGAGTAGGGCTAGCATCTATTTTGCTCACCATTGTACCTTCAGAGTACACCTGAGATCATAAGTAATATCCCCTCAAAAAAATAAGTATTTGTGTAATGAATGAATGAAGCAAAACATAAGACTTGATTTTATTGATGTTATTTTAACTTTACTGGTTTACAGTTGTATAAAAACTTTTTCTATACACTTAAACAACATTACAATAAAAATAATTTCAGACAAAACTGGGGATACAAGAAACTTTGCTCCTTAAAAAAATTCTTCAAGTTTGCAAAACACTGTTCTATTCTATCACATGAGTAAGGCCTGAAAAGGAGGCAGAAACGAATTTACGAAGCCTGTTTCAAAGACATCATGAGAGGAGTACAAAATACCTGGTCAAATAAGCAAGAAGTGGCTTATGTTAACCAACCTTTCTAACAATATGAAAACTACAGACATCACTGAAACTGGTTGTACTCACTATTTTCAACTCAGCCACTTCTGACTGGAGTCGAGGAGCTGCCCAGATCAGTGTAGACACAGATTCAGCCAAACCAGTATCTAGCTCCCTAATCAAGAAAGAAAAATTAATAAAACCTAACATTCTTTAAAACAAATCAACAAAACCCTGGCATTTGTTGTCATATACTTGATAGCCTCTAAAGCTATTTCATGAATCTCACTGGATTCTAATTTAACCATTTTCATCATCCTATTTGACTTCTGAGGAAACTCAAACTAAATGACAAGCCCAAGGCCACTAAGTCAAGAAATGGTTGAGCCAAGACTCAAACTTAGGCCTCTTAATTTCAGATTCTGTATTTTCTTAACAGTTATCTACGCTGAGAACAGGCCTTCAGGTGAATGGTATAAAAAGATCCTTGGGTACAATGTGAAGTAGTCCCTTAGTGCTAGCCCCCTGCTTGTAGAAAGGGACCAGTATAAGGTTTAAATTTTTTTTTAAATCTTACTTCATAGACTGGATGAGGCCAAACCGAGCCAGCAGCAGGTCACAGTACAGCTCCAGGATCTCCATGGCCTCCACGAGGTAGTCTTCTCGGATAATGTGCTCCACTCGTATCCGAGCTCGTTCATCTTTCCCAGCAGCCAGATAGTCAGCAATCTCTTTTCTTGCTTTCTGCGCCAGTTCAGCTAAGGCACAAATCCCATTCCAGTCACATAGTGGTAGCACACTACTCCCTGACATGCAGACTGACTTCCACTCCAACAGAGAAAAGTGGGTATTTCTACTATATCCTAGCTTACTTTCCCTTAGCAAGCCTAGTTCCATCTCATTTAATCTAGAATTTGCAACTTTATCTAGGTGACACTATTGTTTGTATAGCCAGAAATTTCCATCTCAGGAGTCCTGTCACCTATTGTACAGCAAAAGTATGTCCCTTTTCCTGCAACAAAATGATCAGTATAACTTGTCACAAAAGACAGCAGAAATGTATCCAAAGCTTAAAAAGTCACAGGATACATAAGATTTCTTAGAACCAGCCTGAAAGAGCCAATCCTGGGGTGCTAGAACCCAGTGGTGTATTTGGTGAAAGAAAATATAAGGCAACCATGCATTACTCACTTTTTTTTTTCTCTAATAGTTTTAAACGGTTTATGACTAATCTCAAATTGACTCGTAAACGCTCAGCTTTAAATCCAGAGCCCAGCATATTGTGCTGTTCCTCCTGAAAAAAGATGAGAAGCACAATGACTATTTTCAAGTTAAAATTAGTTCAGGAACTAACACTAGTTAGAGGTTGGTTTATCTGACATTATAAACCAAGGTGGTTTTCTAATACTGGCAAAATAACATGATCAGATTCACATTTCTTAAACATCATTTTGGTTGTGGTGTGGAGAAATGGATAGAGAAAGGTAATAATGGAACCAAGAGGACCAAGGATTAATCTATTACTATAGTCTGCACAACAGACAGACAACAGCAAGGGCAGGGGTCGATGTGATTGAATTTCAGATCTATTTAGAAGGCAGAGCTGAAATAACTTACTGATAGATAAGACAATACCTGTGTACTGGTGTAGGAGTGAGTGATAAAAAGACAAAGAAATAGGACGGCCTCCAACTTCTCCCCAGAACCTCATCAGGGGTAGTAATGGAAAAAAATTACCAAGTTTAGAACCCTGTTAAAAAAGAATCTCATCTTAATTCTTCAAATCCTCCTACCAATCTCAGCTTTTGGAAAAAAGCTGGTGCTCAAAATCACAGAAATATCATTAACATTGACTCACATACAAAGAAATATACCAAGGGGTAAAAAGTCCAAGAAAAAAATATAAATTTGACAACAGAAAGCTATTTACCAAGACTTTAACTGAACAGCAGAATTACACTCAACAGAACTCCCACCACCCCCTCCACCCACAAGACTTTAGGATGTGCCATTGTTCATTGACCACTGTGCATTCTGTATCAAAACAACACAATTTCTATTTCTCTCAATTAATTCTGGATTAGACGTCAAAACATAGTATCCAAACAAAAGCTAGTCCTAACAACATAACCAAAGAACAGACAAACCAAAAAATATATCCAATGTGAGGAAGAACTCTAAGAGTAATATTTGTCTACCTGTATATAAGCCACTAACAGAAAACATCAGAAGTATTTTCCTTTTGTGAAATTTGCCTCCAGAGGTTTTTATACTAAATTTAATAATTAATCCAAGTCCAAGTTTACAATGGAGCTTCTATGCCACAAAATGTTTGGGATTCATTATACTGAGTTATGTTCAACCCACTCAACAAATATTTACTAATTATTTCTATGTCAGACAATGACCAGACAGTAGAAATAAAAATAAATAAGGCACAGTCTTATTTATATTCTGAAAGAAATTTATATTCTGCTGGGGGGGAAAACAGCTAAGAAAACCTAGCAACTACAATACTGTTTGTTAAGGACTCTGATTCTAGCGTGGTTCTCCATTGGAAGTGTCTGACCCCTGGGGGACACTTGGCCATGAGTGGAGACATTTTAGATTGTCACGACTGAAGGAGTGCTGCTGGCATCTGCAGAGCCCAGGGATGCTGCTGAACGTGTTACAATGAACAGGACAGCTCGCTGTGACAAAAAATTATTCAATCCAAAATGTTAGTGGTGCCATGATGATGAAACTTACTGTAAAGATACCCAACCTACCTAGGAACATTACAGAGTGCTTTCCACGAGGAGAAAAGCCTAAGCTGATCCTGAAGGACAAACATGATATTTGTAGGATAAAAACAGATGTAACTATCCCAGGCAGAGGGAGTGGTGTATGTGAAATCCAAATACCAAAGAGAACAAAAGCTTTTTGAGAAACACAAGTTCAGCATAGTTGAAGTATGGCATTAACTACAGTTTATGCTATAACATGTCTCATAATTTTAAGTTCAAACTTCAACAATTATTTATAAGATGTTACAGCAGGCTCTGGTGCTAGCTACATCCAGACAGTATTCTTGTTCTCAAGCCATTCATAAAAAAAAGAGCCAGAAAAACAGTAACTAATACTATCATTCACTCTTACTAGGCACTTGCCCAAAATCAGCCAAGAACAAAGTGGTAGAGGTGGAGCTAGGAATAAAGCCTAAGTGTATCTTAATTCAAAATCCAAGTAAATAATTTTAACCATATACTACTACATCATTTTCAGCACTAAAACTGTAATATATTTTTAACCCCCTTCAACAAATATTTATTGAATGCCTATTACTATACTGTGACAGGCACTGGCAATATACTGGTAAGGAAAAACAGACATGGGTACTGCCCTCATGGAGTTACAGTCTAGTTAGAGAAACTTATCACATCAGTAAACCGTAAAATAGCAACTGTGGTAAAAGTGCCACAAAGAAATAAGTGGTGCTTTATAGTTTATTATAAAGGGATTTGACCTCTTCAGCCACTTCCTTAGAAACTATTTCAAAGATAAAAGATGACAATATTTGATGTCTAACACAGTCACAAGATATAACAAAAATGTTAAGATTTCACTGTGGTTCTTAAGTAGTCCACAAACATCAATTTTGTGATGCATCAATATTTGAAAACAAAACAGTAGCCATGTCTGTATTTTAAATATTTTCAAGAAGCTTAAAAACACATACACTGTGATCTAGTAATTCTACTACTGGGAACTTAACCTAAGGAAATGATCAGAGTTTCATACACTTTTCTATGGGAATATTTAACAGTACATTTTAAGACCAAAATATTGGAATAAGCTATATGAATGAACTAATATTTGCTTATTAAACAAATTATAGCATACGTATGGAATTTTACATAGCCACTAGACTATTTAAAAAATATTTGCTAACATGAGAACATATTAATGATATGAATTTAAAAAGCAAGACTATATATGAAGTATGACCCCAAATTCTGAGTTTAAAAAAAGTCACATATGCATAGACAAAGGCTGGATAAAAAAATGATTTAGTTTTTACTATATATAAACTCTCTTCAAATCCAAAGAATTTACCCTAACAGTAAAGCTAATGCTAAAAACCAAATCCACCTTGGAAAGCATATACTTTAGAATTTCTAAAGAATAAAATTAAATAAATATATTTGCCTTCTTAAAAAAGCAAAATATTAACTCATCAGAAATCATTAATGATCAAGATTAACTTATCATAAGTGGAATATATTGAAAAAACACCACAGAAATTTAAAGAACTATAAGAGAATTCTACAAAAATGGTATGCCAATAAATTGGGCAACCTAAAAGAAATTAGTAAATTTCTAGAAATACACAATCTTCCAAGACTGACCCAGGAAGAAAAAGAAAATTTGAACAACACCAATTACTAGTAAAGAAATTGAACTGGTAATCAGAAAACTCCCAACAAACAGAAGTCCAGGAGCAGATGGCTTTACAGAGGAACTCTACCAAACATTTAAAGATGAGCTAACACCTATAGTTTAAAAAAATATTCCAAAAATAGAACAAGGAATACTTCCAAACTCATTCTCTGAGGCCAGTATTACTCTATATCAAAACCTGACAAAGACACTACAAAAATAAGGAAAATACAGACCATATCCCTGATGGACATAGATGCAAACATCCTCAACAAAATATTAGCAAGCCAAATTCAAAAATACATCAAAAGGATCATCCAATATGACCAAGTGGGATTTATTCCAGGGATGCAAGAATGGTACAATGTTCGTAAATCTACCAATGTGGTAAATACACCACATGAACAAAAGGAAGGATAAACACCATATGATCATCTCAACAGATGCTGAAAAGCATTTTACAAAATTCGACATCCATTCATGATAAAAACTCTCCACAAAATGGGTATAGAGGGAACACTCCTCAACATAATAAAGGCCATATATGAGAAACCCACAGCCAACATCATACTCAATGGTGAAAAGCTAAAAGCTTTTCCTCTGAGATGAGGAAACAAGGATTTCCACTCACCATTTTTATTCAACATAGTACCGGAAGTCCTACCCATGGCAATCAGATAAAAAAGAGATAAAAGACATCCAAACTGGTAAGGAAGAAGTAAAACTGTCACTATTTGCAGATGATATGATACTATTTATAGAAAATCATAAAGACCCCATCAAAAAAAACTATCAGAATAAATAGATCGGCAAAACTGCAGGATATAAAAGCAATATACAGAAATCTGTTGCATTTGTATACACTAACAACAAACTAGCAGAAAGAGAAGTCAAGGAAACAATTCCTTTTACAAATACATCAAAAAGAATAAAATACCTAGGAATAAATCTAACCAAGGAGGTGAAAGACCTGTACTCTGAAAACGTAAGACACTGATGAAAGAAAGTGAAGATGACACAAATAAATGTAGTTTTCCCTGCTCATGGATAGGAAGAATACTGTCAAAATGACCGTTCTGCCCAAAGCAATTTACAGATTCACTGCAACCCTGTTAGACTTTCAATGGCATTTTTTCAATGAACTAGAGCAAAGAATCCTAAAATTTATATGGAACCACAAAGACCTCAAATAGTCTTGAAAAAGAAGTTGGGGGTATCATGATCCCTGATTTCAAGCTATACTGCAAAGCTACAGGGATTAAACAGTATAGTATTAGCACAAGAACAGACCCATAGACCAACAGTACAGAAGAGGAGCCCAGAAATAAACCCACATATACATGGTCAATTAACATATGACAAAGGAGCCATGAATATACAATGGGGAAAAGATAGCCTTTTCAATATATGGGTTGGGAAAACTGGACAGATACATGTAAGAGAATGAAACAAGATCACTGTCTTATGCCACACACAAAAGTAAACCCTAAATGAATTAAAGACCTAAATGTTTAAGACATGAAGACATAAAATTCTTATTAGAAAAAATATGTAAGAATCTCATGAATACAGGCATGAGAAATTTCTGGATATGTCTCTCCAGACAAGGGAAACAAAGGCAAAAATAAACAAGTGGGACTACATCAAACTAACTTCTGCACAGGAAAGGAAACCCTCAACAAAACAAAAAGGCAAACTACGGTATGGGTATTTGCAAATGATACATCTGACAAGGGGCTAATATCCATACATAAAGAACTCATACAACTCAACAACAAAAAATCCAATTAAAAAACGGGCAGAGGATCTGAATAGACATTTTTTCCAAGGAAGACATACAGATGGCCAACAGACACATGAAAAGATGCTCTATAT